CCGTGCGGAGCGGGGGGCCACCCTGCCACTCTGCCCTAGGGGCGGGGCCTATGAGCGCAGTGGGCGGGGTTTCACGTCGACCAGGTAGCTCTACCCGGCTTCTGGCTCTCAGTCGTTTCATGCCGCGTCCACCGCTTCCTTGTCGCTAAATTCCATCCCCGCCGTGGACTGGGGCCATAGAGGACAGAGTCACTTGGAAAAAGATACAGAAGGAACGTGGTGTGTGTTGCGTTCCAGAGACCTCATTATTGAACTTTCCCCTCCGGCTCCCAAGCGTCCGGGACTCAATGCATCCCTTGGGATTCTGACATTTGGGCACCGATGTACAGTCCCTCGTACCTAGGCATCCGAACCCGATCAGTCCTTCTCTGGGAGATCCTGGCTTTCGGCCCCCGTGGGAAGGCCCCTCCTGGGGGGCGGGGCTCCGGGCCCCCCGCCCCTCCCGCTGCCGCTGCTTCGCTGCCCTCGTACCCCGAGGATCTGCACTTCCCGGTCGCGCCCGGCGACCGCGGAGAAGAAGGGAATGCGCGCGTGCTGCCTGGCCCAGCTTCATATCTATCCGCCTCCTCCCACGCTGGGCCAGAAGGGGTGCCCGCGCGCATGCGCAATCGCTGTTACCCGCGGGGGCGGTAGGGGAAGGCGGAATGGAAGGAGGGGGTGGGTGCGCCAAGCGGCAAGTTGGTGAACAAGCGCGATGTTCCCGGTCAAAGGACTTGCAGGAAAGTGCGCGATGTTCCCGGTCAAAGGACTGTAGGAACGTGTACAGCCTAACCCGGGCCTGAGGTGGCTGATGGAGTCAAGCACGTGCAGGACTAGCGTGGACAACCTGTGCTTGGAGATCAGTGAGACGGTTCCCAGCATAAGCACCCCTATTTGTTATGTTCTTGTTTTTGAGAATTCAAAAGCTCGCAGTTTCAAAAGCTCGCTGCCCATTTGTCTCCTCAAAGAATCTGCAAAACACCTGGCCAGTCTCTAGAGGACGGGCGGGGCCTCTGGGTTCAGAGCGAGTTGGTGTCCAATAAAGGGCACGTTATTTGCATGCCTCGCTGGCACATACCGCCATGGGGTGACTCAAGATTCTCGGCCCCTCCCTCCATGCTACATCCCTTTCCCAGGCCTGAGTGGTCTTGAGTGGTCAGGCACCAGATGGCAGGTGACATGGTATATTCTTCCAGGGTGGTGACAGTGCACTTTCTCCTCCCGCGTTGGAATGGTGATAAAGTGCCCATAAAAATCTTCTGCACAGGACTAGCAGTTAGTGTAGTGGCTATGTTGCTGGACTCCCATGTAGTCGACTGTGGTTCGAGTCCTGGACCCGGTGGCTTAAACTCAGGCCGGGCGCGTGTGCATGCGTGCCCAAGATCCCGAGAGGAGAAGGGATTGCGGCGTGGCCATCCCCCCTGGGGGGTGATTTCTCACTTTCTGTCTCTCTGTCTCTCTGTCTTTCTGGCGAGTACACGCACCCTATAGCAAAAACCTCTCCAAAAAAGAAAATCATCTGCAGTGGATGGGTCTCCTGCTTGGTAAATCACAAGGTCTGGTGGGCCGTGGGAGCCATGGAGTTATTTGGTTGAGTCTTTTGGGCTGTGGAGCCAGATTGCCCAGGTAACTGGTTTGGAATCTTGTCTCTGCCACTTTCTAGCTATGTGATGTTGAGCAAGTCACTTCATCTTTATGGGCCTCAGCTTCCTCACCTACAAAACAGAGTATTGTTAGGGTTAAATATAATAATCAATGGGAAGTATTTATTAAAAAAGTGCCTAGTGTGCACATTTTAATATTGTAAACATTGTTTTTGGGTTTTATCATGCTTTTTACTAGGGATCAGAGTTGTCCCAGGAATAAGTGTACAGGTGGAGAGTGTGGGGAGCCGCCCACATCAAAATGGCTGCCATGACCTTCACTGCTTAAAAATGGCCGGTGCGACCTTGACACAGACACCAGGAATGCAGACCCCCTGGTTCACACAGAGCTGACAGGTCCTCAATAAGGTCCGCTGTAAACCCCGCCTACCTCCCTCTGCCTTGTGTATATAAGAAAGCGCTCTAGCCCTCAATAAATGAGCTAAACCTTTACATCAAGAGCTGTGACACTGTGTGAGCTGTGATACTTCTTTCGCTCCCGTGCTGAGACGCTGCGCCGGTTCCAGACCTCAGCCCCCTCACTCGAGTTTCCCTGCCCGATTAGTCCCGCGGGTTCGGGACATTCGTGTTCAGGAGGATCTCTCCTATCCCATCATGCCATGCTCTGGACTCAGTCCTTCCTTCCAGGTCTTGTCTGTTCCATGGTCAGCATTTGGACTAGTTATTCCCTCAGCTTCCATTGCCTGACTTCTACCTCCGGTTCCAGTTCTATAATGTTACCATCCCAGAGAGCTTCTCTGCTCACCCTACTTTAGGGAGCGCCCCCTTCCTCCAGTCCTCTCTGTTCCCTCCCACTTGCACCTAACACCATCTGCCTGTCTTCTAGAACATATGCTTTGTTAAATGGACTTATTAATCTTGTTCAGCATCTAGAATGGGGCCTAGCACATAGGTGTTCAGTAAATGTGTGTCTAGTAAATACTTGAAAGAGGGGATGGCAGATGGCATGGTGGTTGGAACACTATACTCCCACATGGCCGACCGGGTTCAAGTCCTGGACCTGGTGACTTGCTTTCTCAATTTCCCTCTCTCTCTTTGGTCAAATGAATAATAGTAGTGATAATAAATAAAATTAAATAAATAATTCTTTAAACAAGTACTTGGAAAAACTAACTGGAATTCCTCTATGACAATAAGGTAGAACAATGGGAAGGATGTGGATCTTGAGGTTAAAGAGCTTGGAAAGGGGCCTAAGGTACAGGAAGTGTTGGGAACTAGTTTAAGGTTCCATATACTTTTACATTTTTTTTTTTTGGAGAGGTTTTCGCTATATAGGGCGTGTGCGCTCACCAGACAGAGAGAGACAGAGAGACAGAAAGCGAGAAATCACCCCCCGGGGCAATGGCCATGCCGCAATCCCTTCTCCATTCTCCTCTCAGGATCTTGGGTACGCACGCACACGTGCTCGGCATGAGTTTTAAGGCACCGGGTCCGGGACTCAAACCGTGGTCGACTACATAGGAGTCTAGCAACATAGCCATTACGCTAACTGCTGGTCCCCCTAATGTGATTTCCAAGCCACTGGGTCTGGGACGCGAACCATGGTTGGTTATGTGGGAGTTTGGTGATGTAACCACTATGTCATCTGCTGGTCTCAAAATAATTCCTTCTAAAAAGTACAGGGTCAGCAGATGGTATCGTGGTTAAGGCTAAGGTGCTAAAGGTACTATGGATGTGTTTCTTTTCTTTGTTTGAAGAGAGTCCTCATATTTTTTTTTTAACCAAAAAACAGTTGTACTTTTCGATTTATTTTTTATTTTTATTTTTTTGAGAGATTTTTTGCTATAGGGTGCTTGTGCTTGCCAGAGAGGCAGAGAGAGACAGAAAGTGAGAAATCACCCTTCTGGCGGGATGGCCACACTGCAATCCGTTCTCCTCCATTTTGTTCTTGACATTTTGGTTGATTGCGGTTTGAGTCCTGGACTTAGTGACTTGAAACTCATACCGGGCATGTGTGCGTGTGTTTACTTTATTAATCCTCTCACGAAAAATCCACAGCATCCCTGCCAATGATGACTGCAGAATCTTTTTTTTTTTCCTGGAGAGATTTTTTGCTATCTGTGGCATGCCCATTCCCCCTTGAGGGGTGATTTCTCACTTTCTGTCTCTCTGTGTTTCTACAAGCACACATTCCCTATAGCAATAAATCTTTCTAAATTTTTTAAAATTACAGTCATTTCTTCATGTTATCACATACACCCTCAATCATCAGTGTTCAGATTTCCCCAACAGCCTGCTTCATATCGGTTTTTTTTTTTTTTTGAGAGGTTCTTGCTATAGGTCACGTGTGCTCACCAGAAAGACAGAGAGAGACAAAGAGACAGAAAGCGAGAAATCACCCCTCAGGGGGCATGGCCACGCCGCAATCCCTTCTCCTCCATTCTCCTCTCGGGATCTTGGGCACGCACACACACGCGCCCAGCGTGAGTTTTAAGCCACCGGGTCCGGGACGCGAACCGTGGTCGACCACGTGGGAGTCCAGCGACATAGCCATTACGCTATCTGCTGGTTCCCCAGGACTACAGAATCTTTCTGCCAGCAGCACCATTTGCCTCTGCAGTCTCCCTGACTTTCTTCATTCTGCTCTTGTGTTCCTTTCATTGTTTTCTGGAGGCCTTTTTCGTCTCATGCAGGCCGTGTTTTGCAAGCGTATGTTTGGATTCCTTTTTCTTTGCATAATCCAAAGAATCATAAATCATGCCAAAACCTGTCACCTTGCCAGTACCAAAACGGGTTCTGGACGCAAACACAAAGATGCCATTTGGCGTCGTCCTAAGAAGTGTTTCTCGAATTTCTGTCTTAGGTACTGTTGCCTTCCAGGGTGAAGGACGTTGATGACCGTTTGTTTCCTCTGAAGTCGTCGGTTGGCCATGACTTTTCCGGTGTGGGTAGTTACTGTGTCATTCATGATGCTGGCCAACCCTCAGGCAGCCAGGGAGAAAAGGAGTATATTCAATAAAAATTGTCAATTATTCTTGGTTAATTTAAATCAAGATTAAAAGAAAAATTTCCTATAGGACCTGTGCACTCATTGGACAGAGAGTGGGAAAGTGCGAAATACCCCCAGGGGGATGGTCACGCCATAATCCCTTCTCCTTCAGTCTCCTCTTAGGATTTTGGGCACGTGCACACACATGCCCAGTGTCCTTTTTCAAGCCACCAGCTGGAGGTTTAGCAGGACCGAAGCCATTTTGAGATGAACAAAGGCCACTGATGAGAACAATCTGCCCAAGTCCTGGGTTGTGGGTGGTGTGATTGAGGAATGGTCAGACGAGAAACTAGGAATGGGGATTTGAAGAAAAACAGGAATCAGAATAATTGCTCAAAGGACGGTGATTGATTTGGATGGATTGTAGTGAGGCGTGGTCTGTGCGGCCTTGTGCTTGCATCTAGAAATACCGAACACATGCTGAGTTCTGGAAACCGTTTGTTGGTGCTTGCTGCCAGTCTCCCTGTAACCTGGTTACAGAAATAAACTCCCTTGTTCTCCAGCCTCTACCTCTCATTGTCTTGACCAGAACTAGAAGCAGCCAGACTTAGTTTGCCTGTAGCAATAGAGGGCGAGAGAGAGAGAGAGACAGAGAGAGAGAGAGAGAGACCCTTAATAGGGTCTTGTCAGGCCACAACCCCTTTCCTTCCTGCAGCCTTCCGGCTCGTATAGATCGTTTATTTATTTATTTTTTTTGAAAAAGAAAATCAGATCACTTTAATGAATTAAATTAAATTAAATTAATTTATTTTGGAGAGGTTTTTGCTATAGGGTGCATGTGCTCACCAGAAAGAGAGAGACAGAGAGACAGAAAGAGAAAAATCTCCCCCTTGGGGGGGATGATCACACCAAAATCTCTTCTCCTCCATTCTCCTCTTGGGATCTTGGGTACACACGCACACACGCCTGGCGTAAATTTAATAAGCCACCGGGTCCAGGATTCAAACCGTGGTCGACTACATGGGAGTCCAGCGACATAGCCATTATGCTCACTGCTGGTCCCTCCCAGATCACTTTTATTGATGCAACAGTAGACCAACCCAGGTTTGGAAGGGATGATGACGTTAATACAGTAATTGTCATCAAAGCAAGTGAAAATACAAAGGTATCTGAAATGGCTTTACAGTGGCATGATGCCTTAATAAATGAAGGAAACGGGTTGCTCACGAATCGCTCTCTCGTCTCGTATTCTTCACGAAGTCTTCTCCTTTCTCGATTGAGGCTCTCAGCTCAGGAGTGGCTTCGGCTATCATCTCTTCGAAAGAGGGGACTTTGCCAGTGCTGAGAGTCTTCGCGATGCCCTTTTCCCTGAGCAGTAACAGTGTGGAGAAATAGGTACCGACTGTCTCCTGTGACTTAACAAAGGAACACTCGACAACTCCTTCCTTTCCATTCGCTGTGTTCACAAGGGAGAAGACCAAGCGGGCGCCCGCATATGCCGTGGACAGAGTGGCAGCGCCTGCTCCAGCTTTAGCCTTGAGCACTCCGTGCCTGCCTTCTGGATGCGTCCAGTGAGCGTTGTCAGCAGGTCCTGGGGAAAGTCCACCTGGGCCTGCACTGAGAGGTCATGGGGGTGGTGGTCTTCCCAGCATGGACACCAATTACTGGAATGCTGACTCAAGCTGGATCCAAATTCTTCAGTTCTCCAACGGAAGTGTTGGCTCTGACAGTGTCCAGGGTTGTCACACCAAAGATTTTATCAGGACTGTATACTCCATGTTTCTTGAAAACTGCCGATGTGATCGGGATGGTGGAATGAACTGGGTTGGCGATGACACAGATCATGGCTTCAGGACAGTGCTGGGCACAGGCTGCGGCCAGGGTGGCCCTGATTGTGGCATTGGTGTTGAACAGATCATCTCATGTCTTGCCTGGTTTTCCGGGGACTCCGGCTGGAACAGCCACCATATCGCAAATTTTCAGGCAGTCTGGCAGCTGTTCGCGCCCAAGGTAGCCTTTCCCATTCACTCTGGTTTCAATGTGGCTCAGGTCTGCAGCCACCCTGGGCGTATAAGCAATATCGCAGAGGGTCAGTGGGCTCACTAAGGGGCTGTTCTTAATTAAGGAGAAGCGAAAGAGGCTGCCCAATTCCTCCGGAAGCCCCTAGCACGGCTACTTCAGCATTATTCTGGGCCGAGGTACTGAAGCTGCAGTGGTAGTGCTGCTGGCAGGCCAGGCCAGGGCAGAGAGCATGGCTGGGGCGGCCGGGACGTGGACCGGTTGGCTCAGGAGCTGGTGGCGAGCCAGTGATTCCAACGACCTCCACACTGTGCCCAGCTCATAAAGATCTTGCACACAAACACGTGTGCCTGGCATGTTTTCAGGCCAACCTGGGGATCCAGACGTGTGGTCGGCCATGTGCTCCCAGCATTGCCGTTCAGTGTGTTACCATCAGCACCACTAGGCTGGGCCCAGAGCAGTTTTTTAAGAGGAGGTGCTTCTGTTTTCCTTGTAGAGGAGGGGAAAATGAGGCACAGAGAGGAAGGTCATGTGTGGTTGGCGCATGAGCCCTAGAGCAGTGGCCCCCAATCTTTTTGATACCAGAGGCTGGTTTCATGGAAGACAACTTTTCCACTGACGGGGGGGGGGGGGGGGAAAAGTAGGGTTTGTGGGGGGGGGGGAGAAATGGATGGTTTTGGGATGATTCAAGTGCATTACATTTATTATGCATTTTATTTCTATTATTATGGCATTGTCATATATTAGGCCATCGGGAAAGGCATGATGTATTTTTCTATGCAAAGATAGGTCATGACTTTCCCAATGACCCAGTATAATGAAAATAACTATAGAACTTACCATAATGCAGAACCAGTGGGAGCCCTGAGCCTCTTTTCCTGCAACTAGATGTCCCATCTGGGGGCTCCTATGAGAATCTGATGCTGCGGCTGATCAGACAGGAGGCAGTATGCAGGTGATTGTGTGAGCAATGGGAAGCGGCTGTAAATACAGATGACGCGTCCATTGCCGGACACATCAGCTGCTGCTCACCTCCTGCTGTGTGGCCTGGTTCCTAACAGGCCACAGAGTGGTATGGATCCCTGGCCAGGGGGTTAGAGACCTCTGCCCTATAGTGAATGTAAATAAATAAATAAAGAATGTTGTTGCTGGGAACCTTTGCTCAGAAACTGCAGCCTGAGCTGGAAATTGAGGCTACTTCTCTGTGACAAAGTGACTTAGCCCCTCTAGACAGGAGTAGAAAGTCCCATTCTCACTGCTGATGAATCCAAAGAGCAAATTTTCTGGGGCCGGCCCCATAGCCTAGTGGTTAAGGAGGCTGGATCCCACATGGCTGACCTGGGTTTGAGTCTCAGCTCCCTGCAGCCTAAAATCATACCAGGTCCATGTGTATGCATATTCAAAACCCTGACAGGATGGAGATGGGAGAAGAGGAAACACACTAGGTGCATGTATATGCATGTTCAAAATCCTGACAGGAGGCCAGCAGGTGGCATGGTGGTTAAGGCACTGGACACTTCCACATGGCTGAGCATGGTTTGAGTCCCAGACCTGGTGGCTTACTTTCTCACTTTCCCTCTCTCTCTGCGTGTGTCTCTCTCTGGTCCAATTACAATAAATGAAGGAGGGGGACCAGCAGGTGGCACGGTGGTTAAGGCGCTGGACACTCCCACATGGCTGACTGTGGTTTGACTCCTGGACATGGTGGCTTCTTTCTCACTCCCCCCCACCCCCTCTATCTTTGTGTCTCTTTTTCTGGTCAAATTAAAATAAATGACTAAATTTAAAAATTTTTTTTAAAAAGGATGAATAAATAAAATAATTCTTTAAACAAAATCCTGACAGGATGGAGGTGTAGAAAAGCGATTTCAGCATGCCCATGCCCCATGGTGGGTGGAGTGCTTTTCCCTTCTCTCTCTGTCTCTCCATGTCTCTCTGGCCAGTGCACACATCTCTGGCAATAATAATAATAATAAAAGCTGTTTTAGAGATTCACACCCAACAGAAGGCGAATGATCCCGACCTGATTTTGCAAGATTTTGTAAATGTATATGGTATATGCATGTCTATGTGTGTGTGTACTATGATTTGGGGGGAAGAAACATTACCGATAAGAGGCTTAAGCACTGGGATCGAGTGCTGTTAACCAGGTACCCACCACAGAATGCCTTAAGCCGCTGGTGACCTAGAACCAAACGTCTGTTCTTTAAATCAATGATTATCCAGCCACGGATTTTTTTTCTATAAAGTGATCCCGTGGCTCAGTGAATTGGGCCTTCTTGTTGGGTTTCTCCTTTCCGTTTCTGCATGAGTATCTGCGAGAGTCTCAGGGCGTCTCTTTTCCGCTCTGCGTGTCTTCCTGTCTGTTTCTCAGGGTCTCCCTGCTGGTCGTCCTCCACTGGGGCCGCTCTCCCTGGCTCCGCTAAGCCGCGACCTCCGCTGGTGTTTCGGTGGTTCGGGGCCCCTTTAAGGCGGGCCCCGCCCTCGCCCCGCCCTCTCCCGGGTTAGCCTGGGTGCACCCAGCTTCGGCCGGCGCTCCGCCTGGGCTCAGTCTGGACCTGGCTGTGCACGCGATGGCGGGCTTAGCTCTGAGGGTCGCCGGGCGGCAGCTGAGCCAGCGCGGTGGATCTGGAGCACCCATCCTGCTGCGGCAGGGGGGGGTGCCCGGGGGGGGGGGGGGGGCGTCGCGGGGCC